TAGAAATCGACGTTCCCTTAGAAGTCAATAGCAATCCTCTTTCAACTAACGCCCAAATGAACGATCACAATCTTGACATCACTCAGAAGAATGGTTACAGCACAGACCTGATAAAAATCAGTCTCAATCGAGACAATAGTCAAGAGATTGACAAAGATTGAAACATCCTTCAAGAGAACGATTTCAATCAAGATGATCTTTTAGAAAACAAAGTTGGTCAAGGCAACCTTCAAGAGAACAATCTGAATTCTGACAGCCCAGACATTTTTAATAAATATATAGAATTATAACTTGTTTAGAAAAAAAAAATTAATTTTATAAAAAAAATAATTAATAAATTATAAAAGAAAAAAAATTTTTTTAAAAAACATATATTGTTATTTTTAAATTTTATTAAAAAAATAGTTAGCTAAGAAGATTTGTTATAGAATATAAACAAAAAAAACAAATTATAAAAAAGTTTAAAAAAATACTGTAAATCAAGATTAAAGAAAAAAATAATAATTAGAAATACAGTAATAAATAATAGATAATGACTTTGATATTTATTTATTTTTTTTTTAAGTTGTAAACCGGCATTAGATGTGTGACATTATGACTTTGATATTTATTTCCAAAATTATATTTAAAAATAATTTTATTAAAAATAAATATTTATGTATTATATATTTAAAGTTTGTATATAAAAATAACTTAACTATTATATATTTTGCATTAAGATTATATATTTGTTTAATTATAAAAAAAAAATTACATATATAAAATTAATTACTTGAAAAAAAAAAATTTTTTTAATTTAATTTAACTATCAATTAAACATTAGTTTAATAAATTTGGTTTAATTTGATTGTTAGATTATATCTTTAAGAAAGATTTAGAAAAAAACTTGAATAATTAAAAAAAAAACAATTAATCTGATTAAATAATTTAATTAATTGAAACAATAATATACAATTTTACTATATTTATACTATTATTATAAAAATTGGTTTACTATAGAGATAATTAAAAAAACTTTTGTTATTTGACTAAGTAATAATAAGTTTACATTTGCATTATTAAATATTTAGCATCGAAAGTTTTGAAATAAATTATTTGTAATTTAATAATTAACATTTAAATTGAAATATAATATGTAGTTATACAAGATTAAGTATAAAGCCTGGTAATGGTTTGAAAAAATAATAAAAGATTAAATAGATACATTATATTACAACAATTTAATGAATATAATAATAATAATAATTTGAAAACAATTAATTTAATAATATTAATAAATTAATAAAATTTAAATTTGTTAAATAAATACAGATCAATCATTTACGATTATTTTCTATCTCTCTTATGGAAAGGGTTCACTGGGCCCATTCATGATACGTGTCGCAAATTCTAAAATAAGAGTGGAAAAGAGATGGAGGTTAGAAAGAGAAAACTGTTTTTAAGTTTCATACTTTCAAAAGTTATAGTTAGACACCCGTAATGTATTTCACTTACCTCATTTGTCGCAGTCTTTTTCCGAAGTTTCCCGTGTTGTCACACGACATCTGAATGGAAGAAAAAAACCCGGTTTTCGGTCAAGTAGTATTTATGAGCGTCATTGTATAATATGTAGTAAATTAACAAATAAGCTATATAATACGATATATACAGTCAACTTTTTCATTCAAAATATCAAATTAATATACCAAATATAGTATATTAAGGTTATATATACGTATATGTTCGAATCCATTTTTGTTACATAATGGTTCTACTTCAATTTGTCTTTACAAAATTTTAATGACAGCTTGAAACCTCCTTGGCCTAAATTAAGAACCAATTCATGCTAACGAAAGACTTTTCGGAGTTTATTTTTTAATACAATGTAACAATTGAGATTCCACGAATGTTCATAGGTTTATGTGAAACAATATAATAAAATAATATACATCCGTAAAAAAAAGAAAAGATAAATATATGATTTATGGAAAGATAGAAATACAGCCACACGTTATAAACGTAAGGGCAAACGACATTTAAACATGATTTGCCGCAGAAAATCCGCCTTCGACGCCGGGTTCAAGGAACGCAGCATGACACAATACCAATGTTGCCGAAGCACCTTTTTTTTTTTTGTATATAGTTAACATCATGTAAATAAGATCTTTGATGATAATATTAAAAATTATAATTAGCACTTACCAACAATCCAGAATATGGTAGAGCCAGCCGAAGATATCCACAAAAGTGGGATGGAGACACCGAACAAACCAGTGTACATTTGTTTTTGGGTTATGACATA